ACTTACAAGTACCCTAAAAGGGACCCTAATTGGGGTTATCGTACTTATAAGTCTATAAAATAACCATTTACTTAGTCCCCCGACCCTCCAAGTACGGGTCAGGGTTTCAGGTTTAGGGTTACGTTCAGGGGTTTAGGGGTTTAAGGGTTTAAGGTTGATGGTTGCTATGATCTGTATCCGTTATAAGGTCTGTATGCCTGTATACATACATATACACATACATATTTACTTGTGGTCGTTTGCTCGTCTGTTTGATGTTGAATGTTTGTTTGTTTGCTTACTTGTTTGACTGAGTAAAGGTGTGCCTGTGCATATATATATATATATATATATGTAAACATGCTAAAGAAGGAGTTTGATAAAGGCTTCATGTGGTTCTGCAAGGCTCGGAGAAGCGTTTATGGCCATCTATAAGGGTGGCACATAATTTCACAGTCCTTCCAATCAATCGGTTGAAGGAACCTTCTGCGTGTACTCCGGGCGCTGCTCGCTCCCGTGTACTGGGAGGTTCAGAGACTTCTATCTCACCACAGCCGTAGTTGGCGGAACCTTCCGGGTGCTCCTGAGGCACACACACTATTCAATTCTTTGTACTCTGGACGAAAGAACCTCTACCGTGTACGCTAAACCCTATGTAGACCCTAAGCCCTAAGCTAGACACCCCAAACCCAAACCCGAATTTACTGTCTGAAGGTCCTGGCATAGCTTTACGTAAACCACTTTTGAACAAACACACTTTCGTCAAGGGCCTTCAATTTGGGATCCCTATTCTGATTCTCATCTGGGGAGGGGCGGTTCGATGATCAGGGGCCTACCTGAATAATATTCAGTGGGGCTGCTTGTAAAAAAATGAAACGACTACTTTGAAATATGACCCGATGACCCGCATACCCATTTGGATTTGAGCACTCGATCCTAAATCTTGTAAAACCCCCCTGTAGCAGGGCCCTCATAGAACCCGTAACAGGAACTCCCTGTGCACGACCCTATCCTAAACATTACTTTGCATTAAACCCTGAGCCCCTGAAACCTCAACCCCTTTTTGCACAGTCTTGTACGTGCCCGCCTTGTTCTCAGAGCTGCTGCACTCGTGTCAGAAACCCTAAGCATCTGAAACGTCTGAATCACGGAGGAGCCTGTCGAACCTGAAAGCCGTATGACCCCGAAAAACCTTAAACCCTGGTCTCTCTTCTTCAATAACCAGCCCCAAAAAAGCTTAAACTTTCTACCGTAAACCAAATATAAGAACAAACAGTTCAAAGTTCTCCCATTGGCTGTCTAAGTCGTATGAACCCTAAACCCTAAAACCCTGGTTTCCTTGGTTTCGTCCCTCAGAGCCCATGGCCTGAACTCTTTGTAGCGCCTTGCAGCTCTGGAGATGTCCTCGTCGCTGTCGCTGTTTAGGGTTTAGGGTTTAGGGTTTAGGGTTTAGGGCCATAATCATGCAGGGACGGAGGCTTATTGTATCTTGGCGCCCCTGGCAACATGATCGTAACTAACATGGTGTCCTTGAGCTCTCACTCCTTTGCTTGTTCAAGGTTTTTTCCCTCTCGCATGAATGAGGTCTATACTCTGTTCAAGGTTTAGGGTTTAGGGTTTAGGATTTAGGGTCGAGGGATCGATGCTACAACTAGCTACAAGCAGCGTGGTACGTTTTCGCCGACTTGTTGGCATGTCTCGCATCCATGATAACATGTGTACAGATGGCGCCGAAAACCAGCACCCTCCAGAAATCTCAAGCTGTTGGCCTCATAATGCACTACAATCATGATAGGGCAGCACTTTCTGCAGCCAGCCCATTGGGTTGTTGGTGAAGAGGTAGTACTCGAAGTCGCGACGAACTCGATAATATGGTGCCAGTGTCAAAAACTCCTGCACCGCAGCATAAGGCCCATCTCCAGCCCGATGTAATGTGCGATCCAAGCGAGTATCCTGTACGAGAATCCAGCCGCAGGGCTTGACAAGGTCATGGTACATAAGCAAGTTGGACAGGACAGAATGTTTTCTATGGCGACCGTCTTCGATTATGAATACATTGCTGGCATTGAACTCCTTCAACAGCCTGCGAACCGTACTGCTAATGTTGCGCCATGTGGGGATGCCCACGATGGGTCTCACCACAGTTCCCCACAACGGGCTAGAAGAGGCAAGCACCTCTGGAACATATCCAGTGTGCGACCTCGCTACGCGATCGAACGGATCGATCGTGATGACATGAGACGCGGGGTTGTAAGCTGTCATCAGCTCGGCATAGAATACGGCAGCACCACCAGTATTCGTCCCAAACTCAATCAACACATCTGGCTTTGTTTTATACAGGAAGTGCTGGATTGCAAAAGCATCTAGAGGATTTTGTTCCATGATCATGCCCTTCCATCTCTGCTTGTCGTACAGGACTCGTCGCTCGAACAGGAATTCCATGCCAATCACGATGTCGTCAACAGTAAGTTGCTTGCCATTCCCCAAATCCACCAGTTGGTCCTTGTCGATATAAATGCTGTGCTCAGTTGGTAGAGGCGGTGGTATGTCCAATTCAATGTTCAGCTCGACACCGACGGCAAAACGCAGAAGCACCACCAAGTTCAGACTGGTTGCTCTGCTGCTAGTGGAGCTCAACTCCCACATGTCAATGCCAACTGTACGAGGGCAATACACAGACCTTGATGATTAGAATAGGATTTAGGGTTGTAAAGTATCATATTAAGCTATACCATAAGAGGCAACCTTAAGGAATATTCGATACTGATATACAGGCCCCTTGTAGTACTGCCTTAAGGGTTGCTCTCGACAGGCAAGATGGTGAGAAGTTCAGTAAGCCAAGATCAGAACAATGCGTAGGCACAACTACTGGATTGTAGATTCAAAGGAGCGAACCTCCAACATTACTCTGTGAATGGATGCCCCTATGTATGTAACAGCCAGGAATGGAAGTTCAACGCGTCCCGAATTGCCACCCAGGAAGAACAGAGTGCGGAGCGGCTGATCCCACCAGCCACCCAAAAGGGAAACCTTTCAATTCGGTAAGAACTAGAGACAGGCGCACATATACATATGGATGTATAAACATATATGTATATACATATATCAAAAAATATACGCACACATATACCACATGTGGATACGTACATATATACGATGTGTATATATGTATATGTATACACATGTAAACATATATCTATATAGATATGTACACACATATAGTTGAAGGCGAAGGTGTGTAAATCAACATACAGTTATATACACATATCTGTATGTACGTGCTTGCATAGTGCATGTATTTACATCTCTACATGTAAACATGTGTGTGCACACTTATGTAAACGTATAGGTGTGTGCATGTACGTGTGTGTATATATATATATATATGCATACATACATATATATATGTATATACATATATATATATATATAGCGGTCATGTTCTGTGATATTAAAATGATATTGTATGTACATGTACACGCATGCTTACAAACACGGTTTGCCCACCCTGGCCCCAAGGCAACCTTTCGCTGAAGCCTGTCCCAAGCCCCAAAGCGCACATCTCGCAACCCGACCTCTCGGCCCCTGTGGGGATGGATAGTGGTTTAGGGTTTAGGGTTCAGGGTTTAGGACTCCCAGCAGGATCTGCACTTATGCCCACGTAAAGAAAGCACCACGGCCTCAGCTAAACAACCTCCACACAAGCATCCGAACACAACAAACTCTGGAAGCCACTAGCTCGGCGAACTCCCACTGAGTCGGCTAGACACCCGATACCCTGACAACCGTTTCCTCTTAACTGCAGGAATGCCTGGAGGCCTTAAACTTCCTCTTTCTTTTCCCTTACTATACCTCGAAGCCCCGGACCCTGTTGTCTCTGTAAGCCTGAAGCTCTAGACCCTCTCAACCCCTTATGATCTACGAGCAACAGAGGCCATAAGCTTGAACAGGTAGAAGCCTACAGTAAGCTAACCGTCCCAGAGGCCTTAACCGAAAACTCTGAACCTTAAACCCTGAAGCTTGGGAGCCTGAACTTTGAATAGCGAACCCTCCACGCCTACCCCTCTCGAAGGCCTCGTTGCAGCAGAAACTTTATGTCTTCAAGGTTTGAAAATGGTGACCCTGTTTCGGCTGGGTTTGGGGTTTACGGTTTAGGGTTGATTTAGAGGCTGTGTGAGTCTCTTGCCCTTCAGCTGATCCGAACTTCTCTTGTTCTACAATCCTGCGATCTCAAGTGTCGCGCCTTTGCAAGAGCAACCCCTTTAACAATCCAGATGCCCGCCCTAAGCCCTAAACCCTAAACCCTAACTAAACCCTAAACCCTAAACCCTGAACTGCCAAGCACCCAAATCACGTCCTCGCAACCAACGAAAAGTGGGCCGTCCAGCGTCTCTGCGGCGAACCTGGCCAGGCAAACTCAGCACCTACTCGCAATATGTTCCTGCTAGTAATATTATAGAAGCCTGAAAATTATCAATATCATTCCCTAGGACTCCCTAATAAAATATACTTCTGCACCCCATATCTGAAACGCCATTCTAATTCAAACAAGTTTTGCTAAATTAATTGCAAGCTTTGCTTGCGGGGCGGGCGGGGAGGGTGCTGGATCCTTGTCGGTTTAGGGTTTAGGAGTTTGGGGTGTTTTGTTTAGGGTTTTCATCTTTGCCCACTTATGCTGACAACCTGCTGGCACTCTCGGGAGCATTTTTCCCTTCCATACATACCAATACCTTGATTGAGCAAAAAACATCACTGGCTTTGAGGCCGGTAGCCCATGAGATGGATTTCTAGGGCTTATAGAAGTGCAAGAGATGCCTGGCCCCCATCCCAAACCTAAACACTCTAATTTCAAGGCCCGATGGCCCGTAGACCCCAAAGCCCTTCAGTAAGGAATCGACTTTAAATCTTAAAAACCCAAAAAGCGCTCAAGTAAGGAATCGACCCTAAACCCTACTGGCCCCAACAGCCCGCAATAAGAGGAATGGACCTAGAGCCCTGGAGGCCCCCAAAAGCCCTCACGCACTGTAAGGCCTTTTAGGGTTTAAAGTTTAGGCTTAAGCCCTCAAGGACCCAACAGCCCATACTGAAAGAGTCGACGTTACACCCTAACGAAACCCCAATGTCAGAAGGACCACCGTAGCAATAAAAAGGGCTCCCAGTTGGGTGTTTGGTAGCTTTACAAGGAACCTACCACGCTAAAAAAGCAGAAAGGGCTCTAAACCCTTATCAGGATCGTAAAGGATTGAAGATTCCTTAGAGTACCCTAAAAGGAGCCCTTTTTGTTGACCCCCTTCTGTCCAGCTTTTCTTGTTGAGGCCGAGAGGCTGGACCGCTTCCCGCCAGGCTTGGTCCGCCAGCTTCATGGCGGTGGTGATGACCTGCTTCCTGAAAAAAGTTTCAGGGTTTTTTAAGGTTTACGCCCTCACACCTCGGGCCAGGTCCCATGGTAGCAGGTCGGCGTGACAGTTCAAAGCTTCCATATAGGGATTCCGGATATTGGATGATATTGGGGTATTTAGGGTTTAGGGTTTATGGCTCGTTTGCAGGGTTCCTGGATCGTGATTTTAGGGCGACTGACTCTCTAACATGGCGAGGGTGTTTTTTTTGTTCGGGGGTTAGGGCTTTCATGAGGCGTAGAGGTCCGTGCATGTGCCCCATTTCTGGCTCGGGGGCTTGGTCCCGGGCTTTGAAATTTGGGCGCGGACCACGCGGCGTTCGCTCAGCATTGCCGAAGCTGTGCTCCGAATCTGTCCACCAGTGCCAGTGCTAATTCTCAGGTCCACGTAGTAGTAGTCCGGATTCCTCCTACCCTGAAACCCTAAACCCTAAACCCTAAGTGTGCGCCAAATGCTCAGGCGAGTCTCCGTAAGTCCCAAGCACAACTGACGGACTCCGAACAGGTCGTCCCATGTGCGGCTGTTGGGAAACTCGCGGGAAATCAGGTCTGCCAGTTCGGCCAACAATGGTGAAGTCGTGTTGGTTGGACTTCACTGCTTTCATGATGACCGCCACCTCGTCAATCTTTATCTAGAACCTATCGCTTTCATAGTTCGTGTTTTTCAGTAACAGGTCCCCCAAAAAGTAGAAGCACTGTAATCCAGAACCAAGTGGTGGATTGCGGCCTACCAGGTTGTCGCGGATAGGGTAAGGGTTTGGGGCTTGTTAAACTCCTCAGGTCTTGTTTGCTTTCACTACACCCCACTTCAGTTTCGCCAAGATTGGAACAGGTCTTGGGGCTTAGGGTTTAGTCGAGGGTCTCGGAGCTTCGGATTTTACAAAATTTGGGCTGGGGGCTCTAGGGCTTTACGCACTGTACGGGGGAGGAATACACATGGACTGGGATGTTTAGGAGTTGGGGTGACTCTCCACGGCACGAAGTTATAGGAGCTCAGGAGTTTGGGTTTGTGGACCTGTGGAGATTGTGCCCTAAACCCTAAACCCTTTTGCATCCAGAGTCCAAACCCTAAACCCTAAAACCCTACAGCAGGCTCTTCTTGAAGTTGCCCTCGAGACTGCGCCGTTGTTGCATCCCGGATGCAGTGACAGTGATTGGAGCACAGCATTCAAGGCTTCAGGGCCAAAAAGCGTCCCTAAACCCTTTTTTGAGCAGGGTTTAAGGTTTAGGGTTTAGGGCAAAAAGCGTCCCTAAACCCTAAACCCTAAGTTGCTCCAACCAAGATCATAACTCTATGGAAGGCCCGGGAGTCCAGAATCCCAGTACCTGCAGCTTCGAAACCATAAAATGCCCACCAACCCACCCTAAACCCTTAAATGTAGGCCCAAGAAGCACTGGACCCACCCCCTTAAAGAGCGATTGCTACAACCACTCGTGCTCCCAGCCAGAACGAAGATCCCTTCGAGTATTTCTGCCAAGTGTAGGATGAAATTTAGCCTCTCGCAACTCGGGCAATGCAGGGTAGGATTTAGGGTTTAGGGTTGATGGTTTAGGGCTTGGGGCTGAGGAATTTCAGGATTTTCAAGTTTCGACTCGCACGCTCGCCCAGAGGGTTTAGGGTTGGGGGTTTAGTTTTCGGATCCTGAAGACGATGGAATAGCAGCTTGTTGAATCCTCGCGTTGGCCCAACCCTAAACCCTGAGCCCCTTATCTTGCAGCTCAGACACGTAGACTGCACGGACATGGCATCCTGCGCGCTGCGTTTTGATCATTGGACCTATATATTTCCCAAAACATCCCCAAACCTTACAGCCCACCCAAAACCCTAAACCCCAGGCTGCTAAATCCTAAAGCCCTAGAATCCTGAACCGTAAAACCCTAAACCCTGAAGCTGCGCCGACAGTTTAGGAAGGATATCCGAGTTGCGCTTCAAAGATCTCGACATGTGACACTATCAGTACAAGAATGCTGTCTTATAGAGAATTGTAGAGTTTACATGTGAAGCCTTTACTAAACGCTGATCTTCAGGCCCTAAACCCTAAACCCTAAACCCTAAACCGTTAAAGAAGGAATAAGAAGTTGACGTAGTTCTCCGGGAAAGGTACAGGTTCCTTATGCTCCCTTTCTCACCCCGCCACGAACAAAGCCACGGTTTAGGGTTTAGGGGTTCAGGGGTTTAGGGTTTAGGGGTTTAGGGTTTAGGGGTTTAGGGTTTAAGGTTTAGGGGTTTAGGGTTTTAAGGTTTAGGGCT